AATTATAAATCATTAAACGTATGTACTGCTTTTCGGTTTATCTTTCCCTCACGCTGCATGTATGCGATTGGTTATTCAAGGTGGGCATATAAAAACAAGCTGACATACAGTTTGGATTTTCTTTTGCTGTTAAGCATATTTCCAGATGCCGATATGTGTATTATGTTCTGAAAGGCACTCATTCGTTTGGAAGAATTATAAAAAAATCGTTTGATTAATGTGACGCAACTTTTGGTATTACGTATTACTGATGGTATTACGATAATTCGTACAGTTTTAATGAAGAATTTTAAAACTTATTTTCCGTAGTTCCAGAAAATATTTTTTCTAGTCGTAGCAAATATAGTGTATCAATATTCAAATGGATTAGAATTAAAAGATTTTTTTTCTACCACTACTTGCAGAAATTTTTAAACAGTATATTAATGGTGAGATAGAGAAATGATCATGCTCTTTTAATAGGTAGCCAAAATGCTAATATTGGTACAATGTATTTTACTAGTCTATTTAGTAGGGGAGAGTGGGGTCAATTGTAACAGGGTACGATTGTAACAGAGCTAAAATTTCGAGTGTCGGGTTCTAAATTTGNCGATTGTAACAGAGCAAAAATTTCGAGTGTCGGGTTCTAGATTTGGTTCCTAGGTGGCGCACAAGGTGTATTTAATAAATCTACATGTACACCCCTGCTGGCAACCATTTTTATGTACTTTTGAAAGAGTTACATCACAAAAGATATTTTCACGCTACGTAAGTACTTTTTTTGGTATTAGAATATTATATTGTAACAAAGTAATTTTGTTTAAACAAATAAAAATTATTAACCGAATATGTAAGTGGACACCTTAATTAACATTTCAATAAAAAAAAAGATTAGTTTTGCTAATTAACTAGCATTGTTTTTAACAAATGAAGCTGAAATGGCGTCTTGGGGACAATTGTAACAATAAGTAAAGGGACGATTGTAACAGCTGAAAATAAATAATCTTATGTTTACAAACCATTACTTAACTCTTTAAGAACCACCAATAGTTTCCTATATCATTTATATTATGTTGCATGTGCATTATTTTATTTGTCACCTTTCACAGCATAAATTAAAATTTTTAACCCCTTAAAGTTAAAAGTTTAACCCTTTAGGTCTCTGCTCATTATTATTTTTACTCCTAAAATATCACTACTATTTTGATCAATAAAAAAATATATCACAACTATGATAATATGTATAATTAACTATGTTTTAGTTGAATTTATGAACTGTTACAATTGACCCCGTAAGTGGGGACAATTGTAACAAGTGCACGACTGTCAAAAATTGTTAATAACTAATATAATAACATTTAAAATAAGGTATTTTTTTTTTTTTCTAGTAGAGGATAGTCTACTTTACTCGTCTGTCAATTAATACTAATAATATATTGGATTTTTTGTTAGTTAAAAATAGTTAAGTAAAAAATTTTACAATTTACCCCACTCTCCGCTATCTATTAATACTGCATTAAAACATCAGTTTTATAATAGATACTGACTATGGAAAGGGATTTTTCACGGTTCCTCGAAAGTGATAATCACCGGAGAAAATTGCTTGATTTGCGTAAATTTCAACTATACATTATTAACATTAATAAAATGCTGATAACTTGTGCATTGATTAACTTTTCGATGGGTGGATTATCAATAAATTTTGTAGGCTAGTAATTTTCTAAACGCTTTGGCTATTATTTTTTATAATGGCGGGCCGGCTAACCAAAAGATCTCCGTTCGATAGTGGATTTGTTTTTCTTTTTAGTTTACGTAGCCAAATTTTTCTACTAAAAATAAGCACCTATTAAGCACTTTTTAAGCATTCCAAAATTTTTTTAAGAAGTTTGAAAAAATATCGTAATTAGGATATGTACACTACTAAAATTTTTTTCTTCCTATATTCAATGCTCATATATACATTAAAAAACGCAAAATAATTTTCAAAGACTTTACATGATCATGATAAAATAATTAGTTTTTGACAAAACTCTTTTCTTGATTATATTAGCCACCATGCAAACAATTTATACACAATTTTTATTATATTCAATATTGAGTGACTAATTTTATTCTTCAAATTAACAAGTGCGTTAGTTAATAATGTAAAAAAAAATAATTCAAAATTAATTAGTTTAACTGTTGTTTAAAAAGGTTATTGAGTGTATTTTTAGATTTAATAGTTATTTATAAAAGCAAATTCAACAAAACATTAACTATAATATTATTGATTATACCGAATTTGTAAAAGAATTGAGCAAACTAAGAAGACCAAAATAAATTCATATTATAAACGTAAACTAGTTAATGGTTCGGAATAATTTTCATTATAATGTTTCACTTGGTTCAGTATTTCTTTAATAAAATGATTAAGAAATTTTGAAACAATTTTGAAATGTAAATACAATGAATATTGAAGCTATAAACATGTTTGTCGGAAGTAAATTATTATATGGTCCTTACACATAATGTTTAACAAAACTGAGATAATTGAAGTTTTTATAAAAATTATTTTTAAATCATATCATTAAGAGATGTGAGGGGAGAGAGTAATTATCGAATATGTCAACTTTGAAAAGGTACCCCAACATAGAATCGAGTTAATATGTCTTATAAAATAGTGAATTGGAATTGCATTTTTGTAGTGGTAGATATACTACAGTACTCCCCCACCTGAATTTTATTTGTGATAGAACTCGATGAACGGGATACCACTTGTTGAATCATTGCTGTTTTGTGCGAAGCCGGGAGAGCTGTATTAAGATCAGCGTACTTTTTGAGTGCTGATCATGAGAGCTGTATTAAGTTCACTGTCGTGGTCGCTCCTGTGTTCATTTTAGCAGTCGAGTGTATACGTTGTACGTTGTTCGTGATCGAAACAGAGAAGCAACAGCGTGAGGAGGAAAATGTCGCAGTCACAAGTAGCAAGTCATTTGTTCAATGTGAACCATCCATCGAATTAGGCGTGTCAATGTCAACCTTCATCCATGAAAAGGTACTCCAACATAGAATCGAGTTAATATGTCTTATATACAAGTGAATTGGAATTGTAATTTTGTTGTGGTAAATGCACTGCAAGATGAATTAAAGTTTTTTGAAATGTCGAATCTGAATAACATAAGATTTTTTGTTGCATTTAAAATAGTGAAAGTCCCTCATAAAATACTTTTTTAAAATCTTGCCTTTAGCACTAGAGGACCTAAGGAAGTTATTTTGACTGCTTTCAATTTCAATTATAAAAAAATGATGTATATAATGACTCAATTTCTTAAAATTTTGTGACTTTTTGTACAAGATATAATTTTTTTTATCGTTAATATTTACTAATAACTTGTTATATAACTGTAAATAGTATTAAACATTTTAAAAATTAATTTTTAACAAATTTATTTACGCATTCACAATCCAGTCATTTTTACTGCTTTTAGACAATATAGGTACATACTTATTTTCCGCCTTTCTAGTGTTACATGCTTTTAAGTTTTTTCATAAAACAAGCTAAGAGCTTTCAAAATTTTAAAAGTAATAATACAATTATAAAAAGTAATAAGTAAAAAAAAAGTAATAAATAAATAAAATAAAAGTAAAAGTTTTAAAAATTTTATGCAATTATTGGATGGTCCCTCAGGTAAAAATAATCTTACGATAAAAATCTCAACTCTTTATTAAATTGAATGAATGGAAGAGAAATGCAAATTTTGAGGATATGAAGTTTTGTGGTTCTCAATTGTTTTGGGGACCCTCCCCCCATGAATATACCCAATTAGGTATTGATCCTCAAGTCAAGTTCAAGGATTATGGTTCTGGTTTATTAATAGAAGAGTACAAGAAAGCCAGTAGCTCGCCAGTGACAAAGACGATGGCGCTTTGGCAAAAATGAAATTAGCAAGAGAAATAAAATCTTGTTTTACTATTAGGAAGAAAAACAATTTGGCAAAATGTTTAGTAGGTCCCCGTGATCAGCAAAAAATTCGAAAGGTTATTCAGTTTCATTTCAGAGGGCGGAAAAAGAAGCCTGCAGTTGAGAATGTCTTGCAAAATGCGGCAGAATTGCACAGGAGAATTTCACCTTCCTACTCAATCCAGCTCAGTATCCGCACAAACGGATCTGTAAATGTTTCATTAAACATGCACAATGATTGGCGCTTTCTTACTCTAAAGGACAGACGGTACGCCGAAATCGATTGTGAAAGCCACGCTTTTTGCATAATTTGTAGTGAAAATAGACATAGTGAAGAAAAAAATCTAATTTTGGAAAAGGGAAAATTAAACCCTTTAAAAACATTCAATTAAAAAAGCACCTTTAAGTGCTTTTAAAAAACAAAAATTAAAAAAAAAAACCCACCTTTAAGCACTTTTTAAAAACGTTTTGCACCATGTTTAAGTTTAATTGCACAAAGAATGGTAATTAGAAAAATTTAAAAATACTGTTTGAGTCTATAAAATTAGTGTCCTTTGAAGCTTTTGAGAGAAAAATAAAGCCTTTTTAGAAGCCTTTAAGACCATACTTAAATTTAAAACCTTTGTAGAGACTTTCTCAGACAGTGGGGAAGGGGAAAAGTCTGCAATTGCATTACATAATATTCACGCAAAAGTTTTTTTCTCGAATTAACTTAAAGATTTAGATGCGCACTCAAGAACACTTCTAGACAAATTCGATGTTTTTCAGCAGTCAACATACAAGATAGACAAGTGGCCTGGTATTATAGGTTTTACTTCTTTTAATTATAAACAATAAATTCAGTTCCGGATAATAGAGATCTACTTAGATTAGGTAGTCAACATTTCTGGATGGTCAGTTGGAAGGTTTTACTGTAGCAAGGTTTGACTCCACATGCAGTAAATTTTACCGTGTACTTAAAATTTAAAGAAAATAAAAGAAATTCAACATAGAATTCCATTTTTGAAAACATCGATTTCATATGTTATTCAAGTTAAACAAGAATTAATATTATTAATGTACAATGAAAAAGAGAACTAACTGAAAGAGCATCCTCTTCTAGAATAATAGCTGCTAACATATTAAAATCTTGACAATATCCTTCGCTAGGACTCCATCTTACATATGTTAGGAGAACACATTTCAAGTTAATTTGGTTTTGATAAGCTCCTTCACCACTAAAAGGACTGCAACCAGTTCGATGAAGACCCTGAAACGAAATTTTAGTATGAAAAATGCTTTTAAAGTGTACTTATGCCAGCAATTTCATTTACGCACATCAAATATGCCAAAAATTGTGAAACATATTACAATGCGCTTCACTATTAAGTAGGTAAAATTAAATTCTGCTTTAAAACAGGAGGTGGAAACAAAAATAATTTTGAGCTGAATCGGTATAGAAATTTTGGTTTTAATTCTTATTGTATCAATTAAAAATCACATAGTTTTCTTAATTAAAATATTTGTTTTTCTTTATTTATATCTTTAAGGTAGATATGGGTATTATTTTAAATAAGTACCCACTTCTAATCATAAATAATCAAGAAATTTAGACGTTTTGAGTCCAAAAAACTCATAGTTTTCAAAGGCAATTAGAATTGCTAAACACTCTGTTATTCTGTCTAATACATGTGCCCTTGGTGTTCAAATGACATACAGTGAAACCTCAGTTAAATGGACATTCTTGGGACCGAAAAAATTGTCCACTTACGAGAGTTGTCTGCTTACGGGAAGGGTATCCTAATAAAAAAGTTTAACACCGTAATTCGGTTTTAGAATATTTTTAATGATATAGAAATAATTATGTAATCTACAATAGCTATGTACAAAGATATTTATTTAAACTTTAGAAAATATTTTTTCTATACAAAAAGAATATATGAAAAAGTTTGATAAAAATACATAATTCGAGATGCAACTACAGATAAATGAACATAATTTTTTTATCAACACATAATAACCACAAACATTAAATGAACTTCATTAATATTATGGTTTATTACATTAATATTATGGTTTTTTGAACTAAAATTCAAGTTAGTCATGTGATACCGAATAGGCGCTTTTAGTCTTCAGTCATTTTCAATTATTAGTAAATTAAATTTTGTTTTGCTGGGCGGGATAGCCAAAATTTTTATGGGTTAACAATTTGCTACAATGGACTATCGTTTGGAGACAAAGGTTCAAACTGGTGCTTTTTGATCAGGATTATGATAAAATTTGTTGAGAGGCAAAATTTAAAACTTGCTTTAACTTGTCAAGACCATATTGTTTGAGGCAGTTAGGTTAAGAATAAAGCTTTAGTGGGGAAAAGATTTCCGACTATGGACAATCGTAAGAAGCAAAATTCAGGTTTCTCAGCCAAAAAGTTGTATTGGCCATAATAATTTTTCTTGCAAGTGGATAAACATAATTTTTAGTCAAGAACCAAAAAAAAAAAATTAATGCCATAAGGTTTTTTTATTAAGAATTCCCAGCATATTTCTTCCTTAAAATCTAAATTTCAAACTGATTTTTTATGTCAAATTATGTTGCAACAGAAAAGTAAAATTAAAATAAACATTTCCCCTCCATTATAATGTCGCTTTGATTAAATAAAAATAATTTAGTTTTGATCAATTAGTTACATAAAATAAATAATTTCTTTTAAAAAATTTTGTCAAAAATATTTTTTAAAAAAAAATACAGGATTGATAAGATGATAATCCATCAACTGTGATTTACTTAGTTACATTTTGCCTTTGTACTGCTTTAAAATTTTTTTCATATTTATTATTATCACTCTGCACGTAAGAAAACGTTACATATGTTCGTTTGAACATTTTGAAACTGTTTAATCACTTTAGCAAAATTATACTTCGTGATCACCCCATTTAAAAGATCTTAAAAAGAATGAGACATTATCTCCATCATTCTTTTTTTATTTTTAGTTACATAAATCATAGATTATATTTCAAAAATATTTAATGATCTGAATCATGATCTAAATCAGCAAATTCAAAAGCTTAATATAAATAACTCCACAAACTTGTTACAAATTTCATGAAATTTAAATCAAATTAATCAATCAATCAAATTAAATTTTTGTGACACACTTTTTTTTATACGCAAATCGCGTGTAAAATTAATTGCCTTTGAAGTAATTACGTTAAAAAATACCAAAAACTACAATAGTTTTATTTTAATGCGTTGGTGCCAAGACATGCATCCGCAGACGACGAACCCTTGCTATGAAACCAATTTAGAAACTTCAGTATTTGTATTTTAAAAGGCTAAAACTAAATGATTTCCTATAAAAATTCTATCGCTTTAGGTTACAAATTTCAGAATTTTACGAGTATTTTTCAAAGTTACAATTTGTTTGCTGAATAAAAATTTCATTCTTTGACGCAGAATTTTTATTAAACATATTTTTAAATTTTTTTTATTAATTAGTTCAAAAATCAGTGAAAATATTATATTTAGCATTTTAACAATTTATGGTTACGAAATATAGCATGAAACACTGGTATTTCTGCATTTCTCTGGTTTAAATGTAAAATATTCCGAACACTGCTCATTTCCGAACAATAATTTTTAAATTTGCGTTTATTTTGGTCTACGAAAAACAATTACTTCATTATTGATCTTCAATTTACAAAAGTTTAAATTAAAAAGTCTTTAATTTAAATATCTTTAATTTACAAAATAAATTATTAATTGATTTTTGAACATCGCGAACTGCATTTTTATGGATTTTATATTTTAGTGCAAATATAATTCTGATAATCTAAGATACTGTTTTACTATTTATTAGACCTTTTTCATAATTACAAAATATCAAACTATATTTTTGCTTGTAAATAGAGCTTCAGGAAAAATATGTTAAAGGGACACCGGTGTCCCATTTGTGGTGTCCAAGGGTTATAGGATAATTTTTTAAAAATTTTATTTTAAAAAATTATCCTATAATCTGAATCTAATTATCTTAAATTTGAGTCTTAAAGTTTAATAATTATAACGTTCTTCGTTAAATATTCGTGATTCTTTCCGATTAATTTTGCAATTTAAATGTTTGCAACAATTTTAGTAACTATTAAACTGGTTTTTATCATTAAAAAATAACAAATATATTTTTGCTTTGTAATTAGAGAGTCAGAAAAACTATATAAAAGGGACACCGGTATCCCATCTGTGTCTAAGGCCTATCGGAATTTTTTTTTAAAATTTTATTTTAGCATCTTAAATGTGATTCATTTCAAATCTAACTGTTTATAATGTTTTTGATGTTTTATTCCCAATTCTTTCCAAATAATTTTTCAACTTAAGTTTACAAATATTCCCCTCAACCAAAGTCAAATCATTTATCATTTTATGTTTACTATTTCAAAATCAAATCAAATAAATGTATAAAAAATTAGCTTCATTGACAAATGTCTCTTCGAGTACCTGGTGTCCGTAAAATTTATAACACGTTTTATTTCTTTGTTTTATATTATGTCTCCAATTATAAAAATCATTTTAAATTGCAGTATTATACTGAATTCCAACCTAAAATTAGCTCTAAAACTCGCACCAAGTCTCTTAAATGATATCTCCTTAAGAAACTAGTAAAAAGTTTAGCAAACAGGCAAATGTTAATAAAAGTGATAAATGATTAGAATTTTACGTAATTTTAAAAAGAGTAGGAATTTTATCTTTATAAACTAAAATGTAAGTGAAACGCAACTACACTGTTAATATTAGATAAAACATAGTATTAGTTTTTTCAGAGGGATTATTCAGAGGGATATTTCATTAAAAAAATCTTGATTTTTTTCAGGCTTATAATAAAAATATCATTTTTTTTTATTTTAAAAATGATACCATTTCAGAGTGAGATAGGTAGAATAAATTATATTTGAAAAATACCTGAAATCAATTTTTGGTCTTACAGCATTTAGATACGTTCTTTTCATATTTTAAGACAGAAACTGGACTTCTAGTTCATTTTTAAAAGTTAGATATTTTTGAGGATTTATGTTACCAAAAACACTTCTGAATGAATTTTAGCTCCGATCAGATGTCGACTTCTAGTTTCTTCCAGATCAAGAATATGTCATTCATTTGACACGTATCCAAAAGAATCGCTGATTAAATATCTTTCACATTCAACAAGAGTTTTAAGATGAAAAATTATATTTCAAAAGATAAGGTATTCTAATAAGGCGAGTTCATGTCATGGGATTTACATTCCGTTACATTTTCACGAATCACTTTACGTGTAGATATATTTAAAGGGCTTATATCTAGTCATGATAATGAGGAAAATTTTTAAAATAAAATTTATAGAAGAAGTTCCTCCATTGCATCACATTTTATCACAGTTTGTAACACAATTCCACATCGTAAAAATGTCATTCATCAAAATTCGAACAGGGTTCCTGATTGGTATTTTCGTATGCTTGCTTTCTGGTATGTGACAATTTAAATTTATATTTTTATGAAAAAGCATATGATTTGCAACATGTGTAATAAATTATGCTTTATATTTCCTTTGACATTTTATATTTTCTGTTTTCTACTGTAAGAAATATTTTTGATATCGAAAATCACGTTGCATTGAGTTTACAGATTTATTTTGGCTTCAATAAATGTTAAAATTATGCAGATTAAGGGTGGAAGGGTAAAAGGTGCATTGCCCAGCAGGATTGGATGATTTAAAATTTCCTTTTTGGCATAAATATTTCCCCTTCATATACTAAGCCGGTGTCAAAAAATTTAACCAGAAGTACCTTCTCAGGATTTTGCCGATATTACGCAACATTTCTGATAGATTTTTTTGTCAGTAGTAACTAATAGCACTTTCCATTTACTCCATCTTGAAAAATAACCAATGAGAAATTCAAAACACTTTATATTCGTTTAATACGTATTTGATAATATTAGTTGGGATATATCTTTAAAACAAAATTATTGATATAGAAATGATTATGGAAGTACAGTATAATTGTGACAAACTAACGATAGGTTCATTAACTAGTTTTCAATAATACGTAATAGAAAGGGTTCGTACAGGACATGCACGGAACGGCATGTAAAAATTCTGCAATGTTTTGAGCTCTGAAGGCAGACTTCCCAGCCCTTTATTATTAAAGGTAATAGGGAAAAAAATAATTTGAATGACTTAGATATTTTATATTCTCTCAGATCTTTTGAAAGCTTATAAACAAAAAAATATTACTAATACAC